ACTTTAACCTAGAAAATTCATTGCTTTCATCTAACCTGCAAGGATTCTGTGAAGGCTGGGGGGAGTTTGCTAAGTAAATAAACTGTCTTCATTGCACCACAAATTAAAGGCGCGACATAGGAGTGAAGAAGGGGGAGAGAAATATGGGAGCCTGACACTTTTATTGCACTTGCTTTTAGCTGGAGCAGAAAAAAAGTTCCTTCAGGCAACAAGAACACCTGCCTTGCAGAAAGCCAGTCACCACATGATTTACTCCAGAGCAATCCACAAAAAAGTGCTCCAAGAAGTTTCCCAGGAATAACTGAGTACCACATGCCAATCAAACTGGTGAGACCATTCACTGAATCAAGGCTTTACACAGCATGGTTCTCAAATAGCTCCCATCTCTAATCCTGCACTCTGCACAAACAAACAGATATGAACAGCTAGTCAAGTCATAGTACCTTGCATATACTTCAGTATTTACATAAAGGCAGAAAGGAGTCTCTCTATAAAATGCACTGAATCACGGAGTAGCCAGATTTTGAAACAGTAGGTGCTCCAAGAAGGACACAAAACAGATGGTAGATCCGGGTGACGCAACATGGCAATATAAACCATTCACCACTGAAGTGTAAAGGCAAGTGAAGATCTGAGATTTCTCTCATCCATCCATACATGGTGTTAAAGCCCTTAGAAAAAGTTGTAAGGAACAGGCAAATAGCCCAGCCCTTTGATCATTATTAGGCTGTCACCAAGACTACAATTTTTAAGTCTTTTAAGGAGGCAGAAAATTCATCCAAAATAGTAACTTAGGTTCAACTACAAACAGGAATTTGGGTGTTAAGATTACCTGAAGAGACAAGCAAAATGCCCTGCAGCTTTCAAAGCACTGTCACATTAGAAGCACTGGGTTGACTGCTGTATTTGAGCCTTCCAAATAATACGTATTTTTTGAGAGCAATATGAGGAGTGATACAGGGACAAAAGTTTCCTTGATTTTTTTCTTACTCTCTGAACAAGCCTGGTATTACTGTTTCTCTTTCTCATTTGCAAAAACTGCTTTATTCAAAAAACAGTTTTGAGCTAGTTAAAAAAAAAATTACAGAGACCTGACTAATGTACTCCTTTAACAGGAATATATGGGAAAAGTGTCCAAAGCAACCAACTAAAAATCATTAACATTTTGCATTAACAGAAAGTAACAGATACTTAAAAGATTTATTACCCACAATGAAAAACAAAAACGTCAAAAAAGAAATCACTTCTTGGAACACTCCTCAGCATAATACGTAACAGAAGAAAGCATTATTGTTCCCTAAAATACTCAAAATAATTTAATCATTTCATCAGCTGCTTTGTAAATACCGTTTTAAAAACATCAGAGATCAGTTAAGCAACGTATGAAAAACATGAGTTGCATTCTAGGATACTGTAGAGGTAAAACTGAGAAGAGATTACCACTTGAAAAGCTAAGAAGTTTATTACAGCACATTCTCATATTTACAACTACTCTTAATTTATTAGGAAAGAAGTTCTGTCCGTAAACGTCCCTGTTCTGATGCCCTTATCAATTTTTTAACCCATTTCTAATTTCAACTAGATCCAGCAGGTTACAGCTTCCAAAGATACACAATCTCTTAAAAAATACTAACGGACAAGTACCAGGAGCCCTTCTAACTCCTACTTTTCCCTTAAAAAAATCTGCAGCATTAACTCAACCATATTAGACACCGTTAGGTGCTAAACATAGCCAGTAACCAAGGCACAAAGCAGCTTCAAATCAGTGCTTATACTTTATTAGACACCAGAAAACCTAACTGCTCCAGCTTACAGATCTATTGGAGTACAGACTTTACTGGTGGCATTGCTAATTGGGGTGGGAGGGAAATGAAGCTTAACTGCTACAAGTGATTTTCTGTCAAGTCTAACTGCCTGTTAAGGAAGAATATTAGCTGGCTGCTTGTTAACTACAGGTCCAGAGCTGTTCCGGTATCCAGCTCAACCACAATTTCTCTGTAGTCCGGAAGCCATGCAGGAGCATCCCATTTGTACACCGCAATTGTGCTGAAGTCAGCTGTTCATTTACATGTTGCCACCCGATTTCATCGCTCCATTGCTTATACACTCCTCACAGATTTCACAAATTAATTTTTCATGCTGTCTCCCCTAATGCAGAGTGCTACCAGAGATCAGGAAGAGTGTTTTAGAGTATTTCACATTTCACCATTCTGAAAAGTTCTAAAACACACGCCAGCAAGAGCCGTCTGAAAATTCCCCTGGAACACTTGCATGACAGGGATACTTTCCCAAGTCACAGCTTACATGTGTTCAAGGTAATTTCCAACATTTTCCAGAGATTCATGTTTCACATTCACATGCTACTACTTAGGCTCCACATTAAGCAGTATTTCCTAGCCTTCCATAATACCCTCCCCTCACTCATAAATGTCCAGATATACAACTGTAGGACAACATAACAAATGAGAACAGAATTAAAGTTCTACCTTAAGGAGCTGAGATTGCCCAATTTTATGCCTTAACCTTCCCCTAGCTATCAGGAATGAAGCTCTGGACAAATAGGTAAAAACCTTTTACATGTCAGTAATTTCTGCAAAGCGACTTTGGTAGTCCAGTCTTTCCATTCTTCCTGCAGCTCCATGCAAAGAGTACAGAGCAATGTATTTCACCTTGTCCTTTTAACAAAGGTTTCCTACCACAAGCACAAAAGTTTTGCAAGCTCATGATGCCTAGGAGTTAAACCAATTTTAACCAAAGTAATAAAGAGTACATAAACTGAAGAATACACCATCATATTTTTACTAGTATTAAGACTATGAAAATACCTCCTCTTCAAACTACAGCTTCTCTGAAGCACTGTGTGAAAAGTCTTTTCATTTTTCACCAAAAAAGCTGAAATCAAAGCGTGAGAAAGGTAATTTCCCAAATGCCATACCAGTAATTCAAAAGATTATGTAAAGTGATACTAAGATCTAAAGAATGCTTCTCTTGATTAGCAGTTTACATTTGCTGGCAATCTCTGCATTATTATTATCACACTTTTAACGTGGGCTCCAAAAGAGGTAATTCCACTTGATGAATAAACCTCAGTTCCAAGTCAGCACAAAACTAAATTTGGGGGAGAACAAACAAACAAAAAAAACCTATCCAAATCGCATTTCAATCTTCAACAGTCAATTTTGCTCACAAATATATTTATGATCATAAACATCTTGTTATTTGTTCAAATGCTATTTACTTCACAACTGCTATCTTTATCTGAACTCAGCAAGAGGGGGTCACATACCTCTTTCAAGGCTGAAATTGCTGAAGTAGCTACTAAGAAGAAAACTACTCAAGTCACATGCACCTCTGCAATCTCTTACAGCCATCCACCAGGACAAATAAAATTCTTTTGCACCATAAAATTAATACTCATTTGTGAAAGATTTCTTCACTTACTGTCCCGTAACAGAAGCCTAAACCCCACAGATTTTCCTGACCTCCATAAAGCAAGAAACATCAGTTTCTAGCAAGGAGAAAGAAAAGGAAAGCCACCCATGTGCAAGAGTGGATCAAGGAAACTAAACAATACAAGACTGTATTCATAAAATCACAGAAGGGTTTGGGTTGGAAGAGACCTTAAAGCTCATCTAGTTCCAACCCCCCTGCCATAAGCAGGGACATCTTCCACTAGACCAGGTTGCTCCAAGTCCCATCCAGTCTGGCCTCTAACACTGCCAGGGATTGGGCAGCCACAGCTTCTCTGGGCAAAACAGTATTAGAACAATAATTTTATAGTCTTAAAAAAAAAAAAGTGATCAAGAAGTGTCACTGTCATCAGTAAATGCCATTTAGAGAAAACTCAGTTTAAGCAGCAAAACCCAACAATTCCTGAAACATCAACTCACCTCATGCTGCTGACAATCAACTTATGGACCTGGCTCAGGAGTTGGCACCAATTCTTCATAAAGTCCATGCAAGAAATTAAACTGGAACATGTGTTACCATTGCTTTCAAAAGAATGCCTTTTTCCAGTTTTCAATTAAAACTGCTTTTCTAAACTAACACCTAAAATCCCATTCATTCTTTCAGGGATCAATAATAGAGGTCTGGCAAACCGAGGCAGTAGTCTTTCTCCAATCAAACACAAAATAAAACAAACAAACCCCCCCCCCCCCCAAAAAAAAAAAAAAGAAGAAGAAAAAGAGCTGGAAAAGGCTTTTTGTCAGTGCTACCTGGTTAAATCCCAATGCCCTGCAAACAGGACTGGAGAAATGAAATCCAGCTTACAACACACCACTGCTGATGGAACCAGTCTGATTTTCAGAAGTTGACGGAAAACTGTTACCCGTCTTCCTCACTGTAAAAGCAAGGGACTGTAAACACCCCAGAACCTATGCTTTTTGTTCTCATTTCTCATTTACAAAATCAACATTGTTTTCTGGTTTACAAAAGGGACACATTTTTTGATCTATCTCCCTCCCTTAAACTGTTCTAAACTAGCAAAGCATCTCTCACAAGCGACAGATTTAGCTCTGCCTGAAGAACAACTTTAGCAAGATTTTCCCCCAGATTCCTGATCAGAATACCTCCTCATTCTCAAGGCATCCCATAACAGAGAAAGAGTTGCAACATAAGCCACAGAGGGTGGACAGAAGGTGGAAAGAAGACAGCAAGTCTTTCAGGTTAAACAAGATAGCTCTTCTGGGACAGGAAAAAGGGAGCTGTCAACAGCCAGGATTTTACTGCCTCGCTATGAAACAATTTGGAGGAGCTGGCATCTGGTCAAGAAGATGTAAAGGATTACATGAAGTAAGTTAGGTAGCTCAAATGCTCAAGGAATCTTAAAAGGAACAGAAAGAGGAAAAAAATTAACGCTGTCTGTTTTATGAAATTCTGTTAGTACTGGGGATTAAAAACCTCTAAAATCATTGTGTTTCCTGGCATTCTGGAGTCAGTCAGAAAAGTCACTCAATATTCATACAATTACGTTAAGTACAATATAAACAAGAAGAAAATGGTTTCAGATATCTTTATTTTTTAATAACACAAAGGCAGGAGCTATTGCTCTAAAGACGTATCAAGAACCCAGGATTCCAGCTGCAGAACTACGAGCATGACAGTAACACACTAACACAATGGTAATAGACAAGAAGTATCAAAATACTGACTGTAGAACATCAACAAGCTTTCTGGCTTGTTTGGGGTTCTTTTCCTTATTGTGATGTGGGGGTTAAAGTCATTTTAGCAACTGAGACAATAACATTAGAAACAGTTCTCAGTGCTCCTATTAAGTATTTGTTGGTCTTAAATTACCTTATTCTACAGCACAAAATGATCAACAGCTCTGGCTGAGGCAAGTACACCTTTTAAGGAAGGCAAAAAAAGATACCAGACTTTCAATAGGGGAGAAATTAGAAAAACAGGTATTTTCAACTAAAAGCACTGCTGGCACAGATCTCTCCCACAGACAGCAGTATTTATTTCCGAGACTCGCGTATCTCCAGCTTCTAACTTCTAGGTTACTCATGTTCAGCACACAATCCATGCCTATACCTGTAACAACTACTCAGTTTTAAGGTCATCACAAACATGTTTCTACATACTAAAAAAAAGTATTGAATTTGATACATTAAAGTGATTTCTCTTTAAACTTCAAAGTTCACAAGTGTTACTGTGGTTGCATAGTTTAACACATACATCCGTCAGTTTTCTAAAAATACCAGGTTATAAATTTAGCATTTTACTCGATAACCACAGAAGCATCAAGACAAAGAAGTTGGATATTCACAGGGAATAAAAATAGGGTATTAAAAAGCCATCCAACAGACCCCAAATTTTAAAAAGTCCAGTGAAAATGGCTCACTACATAAGTATGTACTTAAACAGCACCATCTGAACAATTATTTTTAGAATGTACTAAGACTGCAATGCATTCCCGCACAGTAAGAAGTCACAACTGCCATGAAGCAGTAGCCTCAGGGCTATGTTAAGACTGCTCAACAATTTAAATAGGCTGGTGCATTTAATGAGAGATCTAGGCATTAGTTAAAAAACAATGTTTTGTGGTAACTGATTTAGGAAATTAATTGGATTCAAGCACAAGCATCTGACTAGTTTACTCCAACTGCCAGAAGCAGAAAACACGAAAACAAAAGTGCACTTTACCTACTACCAGTGGGCTCAGGTCAACCTCCTGCCATGTCTTCCCACACTCAGCTTCAGAACAAAGCTTTCCCCTTTCCTAATCTGAACATTAGAAGTCAATCCTATTCTTCAAAACTAATTTCCTATGGCAAAAAGAGCAAAAAGTACACAGGCATGTGTGTGTGTGTTGCTCACTACTGCCAAACATAAGGTTTTTATTTAAGATCTTGCAAGACCGTTTGAGTACAGAATCCCTTAGAGGAGGGAAATTAAAAGCTTTCTGCTTTCTAACAAATAACTTTTCACTCTTAAAGCAAAATCTAAGTTTTTCCCTCTTTCACAGCTCTCAACACTTTCAACATACCTTCTCTTGACACAAACCCACAGGAAACCTCAGAAGATGCAGTACTTCCCATATTGCCCATTATGTCATTTTTGGCTCACTTGTTTTTAAGTAAACTTGGAGAGTTTGAGGCCTAATTAAATACCATTTTCACAAGAAGCTTTTTATTTTTTATAATAATTTAAATGGACTATAAGCAGAAAAGGCTTTACAGACACAACACTGAACCACAGGAGAACCCTGTTTCACAGATCCATAGCGCATCTCCTATGTAGCAGACAGCATGCTCTGACCGCATTAGACCTGTACACTCTTAAACTTGGATTTATTGACTGGATCTTCAGATAGGAAGATGCCAGGTTTAGGTTTTATAAAAGACATCTTTATGACATGGTAACAGAAGGACCGTGGAAGGGCAAACAAATCTCTTAAGGAATGATGCATTGGAAGTAATTTTCTGCCTAGGCCTCCATTTCTAGGGCGGCTCTGTGTGATGGAAAAAGGAGTCATTTCTTTCCCAATCCCATTTTTGTCAGAAGATCCTGCTTAAGGAAGGCCAAGATCCAAACCCAGTCATCTTCCAGCAACATAAATGGCTCTCAAGATCTTCTGCTGAAGGCTTGTGATGCAGTATAAAGGTTAGAAGGTGTCCTGAAGCAATTTGGAGGGAATGAAGAGGGAGAGAAGAGTCACAAGATGCACCAAAGTAATAATGCATGTAACATAGTTCCAAATGACTTCAATTCAGCATGAAAGGGGAACTGGCAAAATGTCGTTAGAATCTCACTGCCAGTTTTCAAGTGATACCTTTTGCTAAAAATCAAAAGGAAATTTAGAATAAACTTCCTGTACCAGCAATGACACAGCTGGAGAAAGAAAGCTCTGACTGCAGGCTACCAATGTTTGCAAGGAAGAGGCTGTTGCTCTGCACAGCAATGAAGCAAGAAAGGCAGAATTTACCTGAGCTGATTCTACTGATTCCCCTTCTCTGAGGGGGATTGGGCCAGAGGGATTGCTGATCATGTGGGTTAGCAGCACATCCCCTTTAATCAGGGTGTTTCAGTCTATTCATATGGACAAAGAAACAGGACTTAACCCACCAGCCACAGGCTCCACTGAAGCAAGAACATATTTAACATGTTTAGAACTGGGGAACTTTTGCAGTGCTGGGAATCAAGTTGGATTTCAAACCCATTTGGCAGCCTCCACCTTTTTGCACATTCAAACCTAGCACTGGTGTGAAGAGACAGGGAGGAGATGAAACCTGTGTGGCTAAGGGCCATGTACAACCACTGGCCTTACCTTGGCCCCAGCCACCATTTTCTGCTCTTGACTTTGTTTCCTGTCTAGAAAAGGGCCAAAGATGTCATTAGTCCTTCAAAGAACTGAAGTACAAATATGACCCACAGACAGGAAGCTTATACAGAGGCATAAAAAGCATTCTTTCCATGTGCTCAGGATATGTTTTTCTCCTCTCTCTCCCCCACGTTTTCTCATTAAACTGCTCATACTCTTTCCCTCTCTCAGCCTAGAGAAGTGGAAGACAACATAAACAGGAAAAAAAAGCATAGAGAAACAGCGTAAAGTCCATCCTTCACACCTGAGTGGATGGTGGTTCAAAGGGGCCCTACCTACCTGCAACCCTGTTGTTTGCTTCAAGAACTCTGTTTGCCCAAGGAAAAAGAGACGAGCAAATCCTGGAAGCAGATCCTTCCCCAAAGGAAGTTTCTTTCTGAGTCTGCAACCTGGAGCTTTTGCTTGAGACTCAGTCCTCTGAGTGGATTCTTTCTTCAAACTCTCACACTGGTTCTTTACTTTTGTGGGCAGCTGGAAAAAGAATGAAGCCGTAGGCTGAGGCAGGGACTCCATACTTCCAGGATAGGGAGGCAGAAAGACTGGAGGGGAAGGAAAAGTGCTAGTTGGTAACTTCTTGAATAGTGATCTGTATTCCCTCATTTCCTGCCACACAGAGACACACACATAGTCACTGCAATAGGGGAGGATGACAAGAGATGAGTACTAGACATGCAGTTGTTTCATGCTTTGATGCCAAAAAAAACAAACAACAAAGTGTTGAGCTGTGAACTTTCAAGACTTTTAAGACATCTACCAATAGATGAGAGCAATCATTAAGATGTTTTGTCCAGAAAGTTCTCTGTTTGTTACAAGTAGATGTAGGTGGGGAGGGGAATTAAGTGCTCATTTCTTTAAAAAAAAAAAAAATTTCAAATCTCTCCTCTGTTCACTTCCTCTCAAGTGAATTAAAAATGGCATCTATTGGAATGCAGTGAACTTCTCCCCATAATCTCCTTAAGAAGAAATGATCATACTTACCTGAATGTTTCCCTTACCAATGACTTCCTAATCCCACCCCCAACTCTTCTGTAAAGGCCTTACTCCAATTTCAGGTCTTCTACTCTAGTCAAAAAATCAGATTGATTAAACACCAACAGCAGTTTAATGCTCTTGTGACAACTCTGACCTAACCTAGGCACATTATCATTGCTGTGGAAGTTAAGAACCTACCCAAGTTCCTGGATCAAGTTTCTGGAATATTCCTCATTTTTCTAGATCATCCTAGTAGTTAATTGTCATTACCTGAACAATGAAAATATAATGCCCAAGAGCTGAAATTTTCTTCACAGATCCCAAAAGCTGATAGATTCATGTGAAATTTTATCAGTAGCATAGAGCCAACATGCAACAAAAAAGAGCTACAAGTCACTGGACCCAAAACACAATTATACGCATAGCCTCTCATGTATGTGTTTACTTATTATTACCTATTACAATACCTTATGCACAACAGCAGCAGTGGCCAGTGTTTGCATGTAGGGTAGCTGTTGAGGTGTATGCATCATATGAGGCACTATCATTTTGCCTTCATTGCTCTGAAGACACCAGTTAGAGTATGATCCAGTAGTTAACCAAAAAGGTATGTTCCTCATTATGCAATTTCACTCAATTCATTTAGGGGCAATTTTGATGGGGTTTCTTCATCCTCTCCTTTAGAGCACACACCTAAACAATACAGTCTTGGGTATCTTGCATGTCCTTTAATTACCAGCATTTGCCTCCTCAAAAACAACTTTCCTTCCTTGTGGTTCAAATAATAAAAGGAGACATTTGGGAGGAAAAAAGCTAGATTGTCATTAAAACCACAGCAATAATAGTTTTCTTTAAACTATTCTTTCTTTTAAACTATTTCTTTCTTTTTAATTTCTGCTGTCAGAGTAGTAGGTAGGAAAACTTCCTTTTTTTTTTCCCCAAACAGGTGATAGAAAAAGCCTTCAAGGACAGAACCTGATATCCCACAGTAATTAAAACAGAAAAATCAGCAAGTTTCTTCCAAAGAAACTGCTTGGGCATGCAGAAATATATTCCGCTTCTTGGTTCCTCTGGGGACACTGCGTATGGTGACAGTGCTTCAATCTAAGGTAAGAAGTTTTGCTCTAAATAGCAAGATTTTATAGAAATAAGATTATTTGTCTTAATGGAATTCCATGACTTTTCAACAACATGAGACCTTTCAATTTGACGAAACACTGCCTTTTGGATTCAGATCAACTTTCAACAGTTAAAGAAAGGTCTAAGAGTCAGGTTCTGTCTCCTCACCCCACATGCATGTTTTTGTGAAGGAAGATCTTCCTGTTTGGAGAATTAACTGACCAACACACATTTAAATGTACCTGGCCAACAGCTGTCTCCAGCATGATGTTTTATATTCCCCTTTTCTAGTAATGTAGGGGATAAAAGATAAAAAGAGAAAATATAATAAACAGAACATGTTCAAGGTAAATTTCTACTGCTCTGTACTTGGTGGCTAAGGAACTATCATAAAGTGAGAGTATAATTAAAAGCACATTTCATCTTAACATTCCATGTGAATGGAGGATTCTTTTTATCAAATAACTTGCAATATCTTGAATCTCATGGACTAACATTTGTTACTTACAATTCATAACTACAATGCCATATACAGCATTATAGGCTTCATTTCAGGTATTATGTTGAAGCCTACAGATACTGCTAACACTTCCAGTCAATATTCTTTTCCAGCTCAAAACAAAGTATCTGAGGTATCTGAGCAAAACAACCCCCCCAGATGAAGCAGCATGATCCAGGACCATGATCTATAATAGCAAAGGCTGCCTTTGAGAAATCCTCTTTTACCAGGCAAAGATAAGATCCTGTTCACTGGAAAAAGTATCCAGATCACCTACTGAAGTCTCTGGGGTGTAGATGAGAGGTTATTTGGTCTTATTCCTTCCATGTAGCAGTTCAGTAGAACAGACAAAGATCCAATGTCAAATTGCAAGGAAAAAAAAATAAAATCATAATGTCTTTGTCTATTGTCGTTTTCCTCATGGAAATAGCTGAACAACAAAACAGTTTCTGGAAGATCAATCTGAAACATCCTGTTAGGAATAACGTGGTTTTAAATTCCTTCCCTTACGTCAAGATCATAGCATCGCTCCTTTTTCAAGAGAGAACCCTTTACTTCTAATTTTTATCCTTTCATACATCTTTCTTCCCTTAAAAAGAGTTGTTTTGAACTCTGAAGAAAGAGGTTGGTAATTTTTGTGTTTTAACTATCAAAAATACTAGCCTGATTCCTACATAGAGATGTATTTCAGGCTGAAACAATTACATTTTTCTGCATTCCGAGATGAGTAATGCTAATAGATACTCCTTTACCTTTCTTTTAAATCTTTAGAAAAGTGAAGCGGTCTAGAATAGACCTTCTAAAGTACTCAAATCCCTCTTACAGGAGAAGCTTTTTGGTGCCTCACAATCAATCAGCAGAAATGATTCACTCTACTGAGATGGCATGTTGGCCCAGCTCAAGGAGCTGAATATACAACAGCTTCTCAGTCACTGAATTGTAGAGTTTGCCGATTTACCTCAAGTGCAGGCTATGATGAGATTCTTCTAATTGGAGCAGGTAGAAATTACAGCTGTGATGACACAAGAACAATGTATGTTGATGATCTTCAGCTATAGATGAAGTCAGGAAAGGCACTGGTAGCTCTATTTGTGAACACACAGAAGACAGTAAGGAATCCTATAATTGATGTTCTCATCTCCTTCGGGCAAATAAAGGAATCTTTGCAATGTATTTTCACAGTGACCCAAGTGTTGGGAGGAAAACTCCCTATAGTGCTTTCTTCTGCCTTCTTTTTCTATATAGCAGGTTTCATGACCACCAATTCAAAAGCCAGTGAGAATACTGATCCCTGTTCTTCTGCATCAGTAAGCAGAAGCTCAATAGCCAGTAAAGGAAAGTTTAAACAAGTGTAAATTCTACATAACACCATCAGCAAAATAAGTAAATACTGAATCTATGTAATTGGTAAGCAGTATGGAACATAAGCAACAATATTTTTTTTATTTTTAACACTGCAGCTCCAACAGCTGCAGGATCCAAGTGAAAGAACATGGAAACCACATGCAACCTGCCACAGCAGATTCAGGTTACCAGCAGGTAGAGCAACTGTTTCTCAACCCAAACTGAAAATTTAAAGCATCACGCAGTTATTTTAAAATGCAACCAGCAATATGGAATATTTGCAGTTCCTAAAGTAAAACTGGTTCTAGGTTAAATAGCTGTTGCCCTGCTGCCAGTAGTCACACCTCTCGAAACATGTGCAGGCTGCAAACCCACTGCAGGATCTATGCACCAGCATTCAGTTGAACTGTTATTCAAAATAAATATCACAAGAACAACAAATTTTAGTAAAGCACCTTTTTCCTGCAAACTAGCACCAACATGACAGGCATATTACAATACCAACAGGAGCGATGTAAGGCTGACTTGAAATTCCACACTACCAAAACTGTAAAAAAATATTAGTTTCCCAAAACTTCCTTTTTTTTTTTTTTTTTTTGGGGGGGGGGGGGGGGAGCAGGGAGAAGGGGGAGTGAAAGGGCAGAGAGGACTTGACAGGATAGCAGGGAAGAAGTCATTGAGCATTCATTTCATATTAGAAAAAATTTCTTGTCTGGTAAGGTGTTGAGGCACTGGCACAGGTTGCCCAGAGAAGCTGTGGCTGCCCCATCCCTGGCAATGTTCAAGGCCAGGCTGGAAGGGGCTTGGAGCAACCTGGTCCAGTGGAAGGTGCCCCTGCCTGTGGCAGGGGGTTGGAACTGGATGAGCTTTAAGGTCCCTTCCAACCCAAACCATTCATGTCTATGATTTCAACAGCTACACTAGATAATGTTATCAAGTCCCAAAATGCAGAAAAGGCATCAAAAGCATTGATCAAAGTGTTGACGTTAAAAGAGTAAGTTTCATACAACCCATCATTAAAAGCTAAACTTGCAGAGAAACAGAATGGTAGGAATCTTTCTGAATTTCAGACTTGGCATGTGGCCCCTCTCCAGAATGTTTTGTGCTCAACTTATTTAAAGGCCTATGAAAAAACAGAAAGGGCCATGGCACATGTCTAGATTATCAGACAAGGTGTCAGACAATACCTGCTCGAGACTGGCATATGTACCAGTTCCTGAAAGGCCTTTCCTAGGAGTGATAAACAGCTATGGCTTTTCTGAACTCAGCATGACAGAGAATTCCAAAACTGTATGTAGCTGTCACAGAAACGCACACTTGAGAAACACAGCCAGTGTTTCTTGGCACATACACAACAGCAGGAAAACATATGGGGTATGAAACTGAATGTTAATTATAAAAAACACTACCTTGTAAAAATAATTCCCATTAATAGATGCATCAATTTTATAAAATTTAAGATATGGGTATATTTGTTAAATAATGTTATAATTATTCTTTCATTTTTAAAACTTCACATCACAAGCATATTTCTGGATGTCTTTGTTAACATGCTTTTTGTTTCTTGTTGGCTTTGTGTGCCAAGTACAGTTGAGAGCAAACCTTTTTCTGGCCTAACTAAACCACATGTTAAATCACATTAACAGACTTTACTGGCACCAATATACAATTCTGCCATAAAGACAGACCTTCATTCAACCTTAAGAGTTGAATGAGTACATAAGCTAGTATTTAAAAATATTTTCTATTAAAAAAAGTCAATGTTTTTAAGACATCATATGAATGGCTTGCTTTTGTTTGCTTTTTTCCTCCTTAAGTCTACTATAGCAAAGGTTACAGTATTTATGTATACCTTGAACTTACTTGAAGAAATTACATAAAATCTGTAGTGTCTTTACTTTCCTTTTTGGCTCTTAATGACTGAATTAAATAGGCAAGCCATGCATTTACATGTAATTAGCTTTCATAAACTTTTTTTGAATTTTTTTTTTAAAGCATCATTTTTCTTACCAAGTTCTCAATCTTCACATAATTCCTACACTTCTCTGGTCAAGGTCTTTCAACCAGTTTATCTGCAGAACCTGGAAGCTGAGATACCACACATAAACAGTGTTAAGAGGAGTGACTGCCATACTGTTCAGCAGCCACACCAGACTGGATGCCTGTAATTTGGGGGATTTTGCAGGGGTGACATAAAGGTCCAAACTACATTTTCATTTGAGAGTAGCTCAAAGCTTTTTTCTGCAGGTTTTGACCCTTGACCATCTCCTTAATGACTTTTCTGGAGAACTCATACAGTAAAAATGCCTGTTTCATGCAATTATTACTCATTTTACTTATATCTATTTAATATTACTCAGTATTTTACTTGTATCTACTTAATAAGATTAATTTTAATGAAGGGCAACATGGATAACTGGAAAATAAGAGCTAAGCAAATTGGTTGCCTTTTTAAAGTCAGCAGTTTTAAGTTCTGCTTTGGAAAGTACTCAAAATGTGCATTTCAGAATTGAGCACTTAATACGTTATTTTCCATAGCAAATACCAATTTCTTTTGCTAAGTGAACTCCCTGACTCTAGAACTTACAAATTTAGCATGCAACCTGACCAAAAGACTTGATTCTTTCCTCGTTTTCAGTAGTAATAAGAACTCTACAGCTAAAACTGAACTGAGTTTTCTAGTAACTGTTACCACCAAGACACAAAGGGATGTCAAATGCTATTGCAAGCTGTCAGCTTTCCAGCACCACAAAGTGTGCTATGTAACTAAAGCTTATTTTTGTCTTAACGCAAACTAGTGACAGTGGATACAGAAACTAATTCAGACTTGAAACCTGCAAATGACGTGCAAGCAAACCATGATACCTCTGCAACTTACAGTCTGACTCTCAGGATCCAGATTCAAGTTTTAAAAGAATCATGCTTTAGATCAGAATTACTTTTTTTATTTTAACCTACTAGAAGGTAACAGTACATGGAAAAACGTATTCCAGATTATCTCATGTGGCTGTCACCACACAATATGCTGTTGTTCATTAGTTAATTACATGCTTTCTGAAGATTTCCTGACTTGATTTTTCTTACTGGACTAGTGCCTCAAATTCAGCCATATTTTACAGTATCAAATTAAAACTGTCATTCAACTTGGAATAAGATCACTACAAGTCTTTTTATAAAAACTCTCACAAGTCAGGTGATGTGAAGGCCATTTGAAATCTATCATTTGGCTCTGCTTAGGTAGAACTGCTTGCACGGAGTTGTCCCTATATCTTCTCACCATGCAAGCACCTTCACACCTACCTGATCAGCCAGAACTCGCAGCTTTTGGATAAGACACAATTAATTTTGGCAGTACCTCTTCACAGGTACACCAGCGTGCAGTGTTTGACTGTCATTCTGTATCTGTTGAAATATTAGCACTTGGTTTAGGTGGCATGCAAGAAAAAGCAAACAGTATTACGTAATAAATAAAAAAAAAATACATATGCAAACATGTGAAGCTCTATTTCTAGCCTAGGCTTACTGCTTTACAAAGTTACCCAGAGCAGGGAAAAAGACATCAAACATCCATACCAAAATAGAAACTTACCCCACTGACTGATGTGGGTTGTAAAGTGTTTAACCATACACTGAACCTCACAGGACCCTCTTTCCTTCATTTGAGTCAAGACTTTTATTGACAAAAATAAACATAATCCAGATAAAATAGAGCTTCCCACAAACTCAGGCAAATATACAAGATACTATGAACCCGCTTGGAAAAAAAACAATATTTGAATCACTACTGAACACTTCTGTATATGATTAGTATCTACAACACACACAGTTTAATTTGAAGCAAGTCTGATAGTAACGCACACTGGAGATACTCTTGACGCTACTCCCTTATAGCACAGAATTAGTCACCTGATCTCAGAGTTCTGTGCCAAAACGTAGAGGCCAGTATTTCCTCAAAACAGTTGTTATATTTAATAAAGTGCTTTGCCTGCAAATTTGGCAGATTGGCTCCCCTATAAAAGACCAGCAACACTCCTTTCTTTCCTTCACATTTTCTTTTTAAGGCAAGACTCTAAAATTAGACTGCAGCAGAAGCAAGAGTGTTCTGCATTAAAGTTTCTCAGGCTTCAGCTGTATATTATATGCAAACTCGTATTTTCCACATCGCTTTCTAGCTGCAAATAAAAAAGGTTAAAGAAATATATAAAAAAAACCACCCTCACAAGCATTCCGTGCTGCCATTACTTCTACATGCTAAAAAAGCCTGCATTACAAGACTGCTTTACACACTCTTAAGTCAAACTCCATCTTCCAGTTTACTGAAATGCACAAGGAAAGCAGAGCACGCATGATACAGCCAAAGAAAACTTCAATGTAAATGCCTGATCAACTAAAAGTCCTTCACTGCTGGTTGGCATATATCCAAAATGCATTCTCTAGAGGCTACAGAGTTAAGAATTACATTATATAGAATTCAACAAAGAATAAGCTTGAATTTAAGTGTAGTTACTCTTTCTAATAGCTATTTCCCCAAGTTTAAAATTATTCTTAATTCATAGTTTAATACCTCCATAACTGAAATCCCCATAAGCATTTTGCAGACTAGACCAGAGTTTACTACTGCATAACTTTTTTTTTCCTCCTGCTTTTTTGCCAGACAAGCATTATATTATTACTTCATGTATATAATTTCACATGTGAACATCATGCAATTTTCTGTTCTTTTATTTCTTCAGCCCAACAGAAAAATTCTGCAGACAGAACTGCCAACTTCATGCTCTGCGTTGTGACTTACTGTAATAGTCAACTCTTCCTAGCCTGGCCAATCTTTTAATGTTCTTTTTCCAAGTCATCAGGGAATAACCATTTACCAGTCAAGTTCTTTCATTCTATTTTATAAAGTAAAGCATATGTATATATTTAAACAGCCTGCATGACAGCAGAATCATGTCTGGTACCCAATAAAATGCATTCTAATGGTACTTGCATAGGCAACTACAAGTTGTTGGAGAGAAGCTATAGGAAGTACTTGGGTGAACACTATGGCACACTGCAATACAGCATCAAAACATTTCTCCCCTCTATATGAATTGAATGCAGGTTTCAGAAATACAGCATATTCAAGTTTATGCTGGTCAAAATTTTCCTTTTCCAGCAATGTATCTAATATTATAATTCGATATTTTCATTAATTATTTGTTTTCCTTTCTTGTACATTTAAAATACACAGACAAAAAAAGGGGTGCAGTAGGAAAACCCAAAAGCATGAAAAATATCAGGACTCTCTCATTACTACAGTCAACTAATAATTTGCTTTTGTACTTAACTGCAGTTTATTACAAAAACATGCAATGAAACATCTGCATTTAACAAAACTATATGGAAGATGCTTCCTATCTCCAAAGTGGG